CCCACTAGGGAACCTGCTCTATACCATGTGAAAAAACGACGAATGATTATGAACTAGAAAAGGAGTTGGGTACAAATAAGTAACCCTAGAAAACTGTACCCCATACTGTCTTCCCCACTACAGCCTAACAAGACTATAGCATAAATGTTTGACACAGTTCTCGCTGGTGATTTCAACTTGGTCGTTCTCCCCGAGGACCGCAATCGCACTCTGCATGGTCATGAACAAAGCGAAGCCTCCTCACTCTCGAACCTCCTGTCATCCCACTCCCTCCTGGACTCCTTTCGTGCCCTTCATCCCACAACCACACTCTTCTCTTACATTGGCCGGCAACGGCTCAATGTTCTCCCGCCTCCCCCCCCTCCGGCCGCTCGTCTGGACCGCATCTACGTATCTACTACCTTCCTCTCCCGCCTCCATGCGGCCCACTACCTTCTCACACCCAACCTTATCTCAGATCATCTGTTCGCCCCATTGTGTTCGCTAGGTTTTAACAACCCCATCATGGCCCCACGTCCATGGAGGCTTAGCGCCTCTCTGTTGTGCCGCCCACACATCGCCCACATTCTAGACACACAGCTTCCACGTCTCCCCTCCCACCCGTCTCCAGATGACTGGGACCACTGGAAACAACAACTCTCTCTTCGCCTCAAGTGCTTCGCCAACCAAGGAGCGGTCGTCATGTCTCAGGAACCATGGCCCACCTGCGCCACCTTATCGATCGCCTACAAACCCAAGCTGCCTGCTCCGCCCTGAGCATGGAGGACAACTCCCGCCTCAGCAAAGCTCGACTACAACGCATGAAATATGAAGCCACCAAAACCGCCGAGCTGGCCCTCAAAGCCAAGCTTAAGGTCGAAGGCCATCGCGAAATGGGTCTCTCTTCGTTGCTCGCCGGTCTTAACGCTCGCATCAAAGCCTCACTCATCTCATCTCTTACGCTGTCGAATGGCGAAAACTTCCTCCCACCTTCCATCAATGACGGCGGAATGTACCCGTTTCTTTCGGCACTTATACTCTGATTCCACGCCTGTCATCCCCAACCCCTCATTTTGGAGTCACATCTCTCGCTCCACACTGCCCGACTCGCTTACCCGCCTCTTGCAGTCACCTTTCTCCCTCTCTGAAATCGGGAAAGCTCTTGGACAACTATCGCGGGGTAGAACTCCTGGTCCTGACGGCCTCCCTAGCGAGCTCTTTCGAGCGTTCACGCCTCGATTTGCCCCTGCCTTTCACTCCTTACTAGGCTCACATCCCCCTCCCTCGCTACCTCCGTCCATGCTCTCCGGTCGAACTGTCCTCATTCCCAAGAAGGGTGACTCGACGCTCGTAGAGAAACTTCGACCCATCACGCTCATGAACTCCGACTACAAAGTGCTTGCCTTGTGCCTCGCCAACCGTCTTCAGCGTGTGCTCCCTCACATCATTCACCCGTCCTAGACCGCTTTCATCAAGCGCCGTAAAATTGTTGATACCATTAACGACACTCTTGACATCATGGATTGGGCCTCCTACTCCCGCACTCCCCTTCTCGCTCTTACGGTCGACTTCCGCAAGGCATACGACCTTGTCGACCGAACTTTTCTCTTGCAATCCCTCTCCCACCTGGGCCTACCCTCTCCATTTATCGACTGGGTTCGCCTCATGCATTCTGGCACCTCCACGTGCATTGCCGTCAACAACCTTGCGGGCCCGCTCTTCCCTGTCCGCACTGGTGTTCGTCAAGGCTGCCCCTTGGCCCCCCTCCTCTTTGTCTGCGTCATTGAGATTTTCCATAGACACATGTCCCTATACCTGCCAGGATTTCCCCTGTCTCCCCTGTCTCGCCGTCTTATGGCCTGTTACGCGGATGATGTAACAATTTTTCTCTCGTCTAATGATAAACTCAGTTCGGCAGTTGCTCACCTCCTGACTTTCGCCTCAGTTTCTGGCGAATCCCCTAATTGGAACAAATGCTCCATTATCCCCTTCAACATCTCCTCGTCACTTCTCTCTAATGCCGGGCCTATTCCCATTCGTGCTCCCAATGAGGCGGAACGCATCCTCGGGATCTTCGTTGAGAAAGACAACCCCGGCGCCACTACCTGGAATACAACCCTCGCCAGAGTCCAACGCTCCTCCAGATACCCCGCTTCCTTGCGGGCTACGGCCACGTGTCGTAAATCTCTCGCGTCGGTCTTCCTGAATTCTACCCTCTCTTTTCCCGGTCGTTTCCAACCTGCTCCGCCTGACACCCTTACACGCCTCGACACCACTGTTGGTAACTTCTTATCCTCCTCCCGCTACAAGGATTCCGGCCTCGCGGTTCGCCTCATTCCCCGCCGAATTCCTTTTAACTCCCCCCGTGACGGGGGACTCGGCGCCATTGCGCCCTCTACACAGATCCGCGCTCTCTCCATCCAACGCGCGCTTCGACGTTTTGGGGTTTCCCCCTCTGAGGAAGTGGCTAGGAACGTCGTCGCCCTCCCTTTCGGTACTCATGCTTTCCTATCTCACCCAGCAATTCTCCAGCCTAAGGTTCTGTCCCCGTCCATCCCCCAACGTGCGCTCGCAGAACTCCGCGCCTTTCTGTCTATGTCACCCACTATCCCCCCCCCACGAATGACGCCTTTGTGCCTTCTCGCCGAACCGACGGCCTTCAACTGCTTTATCCTCAAACCCAATGGAAAACCCTTCGGCCTTATCCGTCGTGAAAAGTTTCTCCTTACACAGCAAGTCCGCCTTGGCGACATCTGTAATGCCACCTACAATGGCTTGGAACCCATCTCTCCGAAGGAGTTCGCAGTTAAGTTCCCGCCATCTCGTTTCCAATCCGGCCGTCGAGTCTTGCGCGAACTCGTCGCGGCCATCCCCCCTTCCTGGTCGGCAGCACTCCGGGCCCCCACCACCGCTGCGGCATCACCTGGGGACTGGCTCATCCTCTCTCAGGAACTTCACTCCACTCCTACGCTAGCTCTACATGTCTCTTCATTTACCCCGCCGCACACTGTTTCGGTGACCTTCTTTCGAATCCTCCCACACCGTCTCATAGACCGCACCCCCATTGGCTCTAGCACTGTTCACATTAAGAACGTTGCAGCTGTGCATACCTATGACCGTTGGGTTGCAGGGCCGTTTCATACAGGTGCAGGGCTAGGCGCACGGCTGGAGCTTCTTCACGACGGCTTCCCAGATCTTTCCTCCATCCGCCGTCTTCTCTACTCACAACAGCCGCTAGATCATGAGCTTCGTTAGACACGCGCTCTCACATCCTCTCCTCCACCTATCTTTCCTAACCTCACCCATGACTTTCTCCGGGAACAACCTAGCCTACAGCGAGACCTCCTTTTTCGCCTCTACACCCGCACCCTTCCTTCGGGCGCTCGATTCCAATTTGCCATTGATAGAGGACGGTGCTCTCTTTGCGCATCTGGAGACACAGAGACCATCTCCCACATCTTCTTCCGCTATGGTATCGCTCCCGCTATTATATCTGCGCTGGGCTCGGTTGCCCGCCGTCATCTTGGTTGCTCGCCCCCTGAAGAGCTTCTCCTTTTTCCTCTCCGTGCGAGAGTTGGACAATGCGCTCCCTGGAGTCTCCTCGTCGGTGCAGCTGCCAAGGGGATTTGGAATGCGAGATGTGAAAGAAAGTTTCACGACACGTCTGCCACCAAGTTTGAAGTGCTTCAACTAATCCTCGCACAATTTCTTCTCGCTTTCAAGATCTTTCTCTGGAGAAGGTCCTCTCAATCCGCTAAGAAACAACAACGTTCCGCCTCCCGCATCAAGATCGCCACTCGTCTCCGTTTCATCTGTTCTGACGACACAGGAGTCCCCTCCATCCACCCTGCCCTTCGTGCCTCGTGGCTTCTTGGCAACCCCTTCCGTCCACCATAGATGCTTTCACCATCTTAGAGCGATTCCCCCTGATTGCCGGGGGATATCCCCCTTTGGGGATAGGGGAATAACGTGTTGTGACGTACTCCTTATAGGCTGTTGGTCATTTGGCCATATTCCCTGCTTGCTCTATGTATGTTTGTATACAGGTTACGACCTTAATATAACCTTATAACCTTATCTGTCCACGACCCGCTTTCACTCGTGTGCTCAGCGTTTGTCATTTTCACAAAGCACCCTCCGTTTCAAGCCAGTCGATACAAGAAACACGGAGCTGATCGAGGCGTGCGTCTCGAAGTCTCCCGATACGACTGGACATGGCTCAATCTTGACCAATGTTGCGTGCGTGGTGAGGACGCGGCTCCAGAATAGCGGTTCGGCAACCATCCCCATGCGCATACGGACGCCCTCCACACGATCAGATGCTTTGGGCCAGTCACCCCCCCCCCCCCCCCCCCCCCCCCCCCCCCCATCCAAACCTTGCATCGCATGACAGACTGTTTTCGGTTTTTACACCCTGTTTCTCGATGTTTGAACAATCGGGAGCCCGGCTACAGTGCGCACCTGTGCTTGGATTCAGCGGGCTGGTGCTTGCAACCGAAATGCACTTCAGGTGAACGGTAGACAACGGTTTATGAAAAAAACGTGCTTTTGAGTTCGGTTTCGTACGGCAAAAGTGCTTATACGGTATGTTCTGGGACCAATTTGGACGCATTGATGTCAGTACAACCGGCTTGTCAATATGGCGAATGTCAGTGTGGCGCGAAACAGGGTGTAGTCCAGGAGAGTGACGTATTTACACCACACAACACCGCACCGCACTATACGTACCGTACCAAGCCGTGTCTAACCGTAGTAGAAAGTGCTGACCCATGAAAGTTTTGACTGAGGTAACCAATTTACCATCCAACCCCATCGTTCTATCCAACCAAGCAAAAGTGAAGTGATACTACGCAAGACATTTCGGAGCGCATACGTCAATCTCGCGCTTCGAGGGAGTTCCTCCCACCCCGTCCCGAGACCTGTGCACCTGTTTCCTTGTATAAAAAGCGCTCGTTCTGTCCGGCTTCACGTAACCCAAGCAAACAGTAATTACTTCCGCACTATTGCCATTGAGTCACGCCATGGCGCTTGCTAGACGCTGTACGCTCTTTCTTCTCCTCGTTCTTGGTTTAGCCTACATTGCAAAGGCAGCCATTGCTCCCACGGCCACAGCAGGCCCCAAGTGCAAGAACGCGTTCCCTCAAAGGCCTCTGTGCAAGTTCGTGGACAGCTTGACCACGCGCGTGATTCCCACTCTCGATGGCACCAAGCCGCTCACAATCGGCGCCTATCAAATATACCAGGTACCTTTCGCACCCGCTCCTTCCAGCAACAACTTGTGGTTGAAGCGCGTCACCCACGCACGCTATTCCCAAAGGTCTGGCTCTTTTCGAGGCGCGAACTCGCAATGCGCCTCTGCATCTAACCTAGTCGATTCCCTTCGAAAATCTTGTGCGCATGGCAGAAATTCCATCGCGATCTGCCGGCGACGAAGCAGTACGCGTACGGCACGAGTCAGAAGACGGCGTCGTACCCCGGCCCCACCATCGTGGCCAAGGTGGGCATCGACACGACGGTGACGTGGGAGAACCATCTGCTCGACAACACGCACATGTTCACCGTCGACCCCACGCTCATCATGGGCTACAAGTACCCCAAGCGGGGCATCCCCATGGGTAAGACTCTTATCCGAGCGCTCCGAGCACCTCGGAGCGCTCTTTACCCTACCATAATTTTCCTTTGGTATCTTGGGCTCTCGGCTCGAGAGCGGCACTCCGCTCGTTGCAATCGCGTGCGAAACACTCAGTCTCCTCGCCACCGATGTTAAATGCCATGACCATGCAGTTGCTCACAGGCACGGTGGTAGTCAGCAGAGCTTCTACGACGGGCACCCTTTCGCGTGGATCACACAGTACGGCGAGAAAGGCCCCACGTACGCGACGAACGTGTACAAGTACGTGAACGACGAGGCGTCCACCATCTGGTACCACGACCACATGGCCGGCTTGACGCGCCTCAACGTCGCTGCCGGCCTGGCGGGGCTGTACATTATCACGGACCCCGAGGTTGAGTCCAAGTTCACCTGGCTGCCGCCCGCCTCCCGCACCGTGCCGCTCGCCATCGCGGATCGCCTCTTCTTTGCGAACGGGTCGGTGAACTACCCGAACGTGGGGATCGTGCCGAACGTGCATCCCAACTGGATTCCCGAGTACCTCGGCGACACCAACATGGTTAACGGCGTGGTACGTTGCTCTGCTAGACACACGATCATCGCCCTTACCGGGATAATTTGCGCGACGTGCGATCATTACCATAGGAGCTCGGGTGTGATGCAGTTTCATGCGTTTTCTGTTGGTCGCGCAGGTTTGGCCGTACCTCAAGGTCCGGCCTGCGATGTACCGGTTCAAGATGCTGGGTGCGGCGAACGCGCGTTTCTACAATCTGCAGTTCGTTTGCGCGCAGCGCGGCGACTACCCCAACTTCGTGCCACCGCTCAGGGGCAAGGTTCTCGATATAATCAGCGTAAGTACTTATTAAGAGCTCCCTCGACATATTATGGTTTACAGCTCTCAAGCAACAGCGGTTCACAAACCGATAACACTATCTGATTTACGCGCAGATTGCCACCGACGGCGGTTACTTGCCAAAGCCGGTGTACTCCAAGTCACTGCTGCTGGTTCCCGGTGCTCGCCAGGATGTGCTCGTTGATTTCTCCAACCTGCCCGACACGTGCAAGGACGTGATTCTCCAAAATCTTGCTGCCGCGCCCTTCCCCGCTGGTGTGACGGCTGACCGCGACACGGGGCTTGTAATGCGCTTCGTGATCACCAATCGCAAGCGCTTTCCCGCGCCGAAGATCCCCAGCTCCATCTCGGTACGCGCGCATAACGATAGGAACCCGGACCTCCCAATTTGCAAAGCCAATTTTAGTGTTGCAAATCAGTCGGAAGTCCCCAGCTCCATCTGGTTACGCGCTTGTCGTGACAAAATCCCTGGTGCAAGCCATCGACTCCGACTCGGAGTCGTTACAAGCCTCCGCAATACCACGATTTCCACGTGTGTCCCCTTTCCCGCATTGTTGAACAGTACTTGCCTCCAATCAACTACAAGAACATCCAGAAGGTTCGCTGGCACCGCCTGGTGGAGGAGATGGATCCCAAGACGAACCTGCCCGTCCGCGTCACCATCGACAACCTCGGGTTTGCCGACCCCATCAGGGACTACCCCAAGCAGGTGAGTGCCACGTCGCTCTTCCCAATCATACGATTCAGAACCAGTGCAGCTATGTAAAGCTTCCTGCCGGTCCGCACCCCACCCCAACACACCCCAACCCCGCCCCACCTCACCCGTCCGTATTTTCTTTCCCCGGCAGGGCACGAACGAGCTGTGGCATATCATTAACTTGTCGGCCGACGCGCACCCCATGCACTTCCATCTCGTGGACCACCGCCCCGTGTCGCGCCGCCCCTTTGACGTCGCGGCGTTCCAGGCTGGCAAGTGCGCGTTCCGCGGCAAGAAGCTGCCCACCTGCTGGACTGGACCGAGGGTTCGGATCGATCCCACTGAGGACGGTTTGAAGGACACCACAACCGCGTACCCCGGTCAGGTGCTGACGCTGTGGTTCGGCTGGCACGATGGCAATGGCAAGCCTTTCCCGTTTGACGTGACCGTTGGCCCGGGCTACGTGTACCATTGCCACATGCTGGATCACGAGGATAATGACATGATGCGGCCGTTCAAGGTGATCAAGTAAGCGCCAGAAATACCGTTGTTGGTTCTAACTCATTGATGAGCTGCGGTTCTAGGACTTCGCTTGATTATGTTTCACGAGACTAGATGCATTAGTGTAGCAAGTTTAGAATAGGACTAGGATTGATTGTGCGTCACGAGAGAAGTTGCACTAGTAGGACAGGTTGCATGTTTTAGCACCTGTGTCTCTGGAATGTGTTTTCTGCCTATGCCTAGGGGAGCTAGAGCAGCTGGGACTCTGGCAAAGTCTGGATCAGTAGGGTGATGTATCCTTTTGGTAATAAGGACAGTAAGCATTTCCTATTGGAGAAATACAAGGCACTTCCTTCGGAGAAGAGGATATACGAATAACTTACACTGCAATGCCGTGTTAACAATGTAGCAACACAATGGTTGTTTAAACATTTCACGTATAACCAGAGAGGTGGTGCAACCTAAAAAATGCTAACTGAAAAGTGCTATTTTTCAGTGTTGCACCAGGTCTCATCCCGTTTTTGCAGATCTACACATTAGCGGAGTGTACAGTTTGCAATATCAGTACTAATGGAGTTACTACAATAGGGAAAATATGCCACAAGTAACCAACTTCGGACTCGATAACGTGAATGGCTGGAAAAAAAACGCGTACGGTCACTGTATCGGGTTTTCTGACGGGTTTGGTAAGCGGGGTCACAGATTCAGTCACTAACAACAGGTAAAAAAATCACGCGAATGGTCACACATGTAACTCCTGCCAAAAAAACTTGAAACTCAACAAAATTCCCGCTCGCGTCCAACCAATCTGCGAACTTGTTGAAAAACTAAAACCCAATCGGAATCGGATGCGGTTTGGGAGCGGATCAACCCTAAACACCTGGCAAGCTACGTGTTTAGGGTTGACCATCCGAAAATGCATCCAGGCTCTTTTTGGGTTTCATTTTGTTTTGGCAAGAGTTTCATCTGTGACCATTCGCGTTTTTTTTTACCAGTTGATTGTGACTGATTCCGCGAAACGCTTTATCAGTCGCGTGAAAACACCCTTTGCAGTGACCGTACCCTTTATTGTTTTAACAAAAATGTTTTTAGAGTCCCATTATGGTTACAAATGGTATATTTTCCCTATTACGATATGTCCACAACAACAGAGGCACGGCAAATTGGCGGGAACACGTTGTCAGCTCCGTCGCACAGAGAAATGCTCCCACCTGTTTTTTCTCCCTCGAGAATTGTGACCGACCAGATTTGGCCCCCAGAGATGTCCACATCACATATTATTTTGTCTAATTTCCGGTCGCCGTTCTTCCAAGATTGCAGGTGACGCTCCAGCCATCTGAGATTGTACAGACTTTCCTGGTATAGATCTACGTGGATTCGTCACCTGCTGTACCAGCGTGCTCTCGGCTGGTTTTTTCTGAGCTAGTGCGATCCAAAATGGCAGATTTTGTGGAGGAGCCTCGTGTGGTGCAGTCTGAGAACCACGGATGGCAGAAGGTGACTAATGTTAAGAAGCAGCGTCGCCAGGAACAGAAAGACTCAAAGAAGCCGTCAGCTGCAGGAAAATCCGCAGGTGGGAAAGGGTCGATCGGCCAATCCGTGTTTTCTTCGCTGGAGGATGAATCTAAGCAGAGGAGAGCGAGGATCGAAGCTCGCGCAGCAGCTGCTGCAGCAGCTGAGCGGGAAGCGGAGCGTGCAGAGTACGACGCTGACGATGACGATGATGATGATGAGGAGAGGGAAGCCAAGGCCCCAGCAGCAGCAGAGCCTAAGAAGCCTAAGAAACCTAAGAAGCCCAAAGTTACCGTTCTGGAGGCTGCGACAGCGATCAAAGTGGACGAATTGTCCGCGTTCCTTGTCGAGATCTCGGTGCGTGCCGACATTTCTAACCCATTTCGGCGGCTGACGTCATTTTATTGCTTTGAATCTGTTAACTTCGGGGACATCGGCCGGAATATGCTAAAAAAATTCGCGTTCCAAAATGAATGTTCACAACGTTTACTCGTTTGCGGATCGAACTCCTCACCCTCCGGTGCTCAATGTGTGTCGCTGCTGCTCTTTTTGTCCATCAACTCTCTGTCTCCTTGCCTGCGTTCAGGAATCCTTCGCAGGCATGCCGGATGTGCAGCTGATGCGTTGTGCGGATTTCTTCGCACGAGCCTTCAGCGCGGTGCTTCCATCGCAGCTCAACATCCCCAAGATCATCCGAGATTCCAGCTTGGCCAAAGCCCTTGACGTGAGTCGCTCCACTATATCCCTCTCTTTCACGCAGATCTGACTACGCGGTTGCGATCAGTACCTGTTTCGTTTTCGCCTAAAGTCGAATTAGGCCGCGTTGAAATGGCTTCACTCTCGATCTAAGCCTTACCTTTCGTTCCCTTCCCTGCAGTTACCTTGGAATGACATTCCCGAGGAGGTTCGCACAACCGCCTCTGAATGGCTGGCGGAGCGGCCTGCGGACGCGCTGGCGAAGTTTCTGGTTACCCTAGTGCGATCGGCGCTCGAGGATGTGCTGCCAGTCGGCAAGGTGGCCAAGGGAACCGCCGCACAGCCGCTGACGCCGCCCAAGGCCAAGGTGCGACTTTACGACAGGCTCCTTTGTTCTCCCCGTTTCCTGAGATTGTAGTCAAATTGTGCCTGGAAACATGAAATAAGTCATTGTTTTTAATCTCGTCCGGAAGAAGCGAACTAGGACCACAAAAGAACAACCAGAAAGTGGAAGACTTGCTTATTGAGAACCTCACTTCGCTAATTCTACCAAAGAAAGAGGTCACAAAGAACCATACCATTCATACACTGGGTCTGAATTTACTGCAGGTGGGCATGCTGGTGCTGCTGGTGCTGCTGCTGCGGCGACGGCCGGACGTGATGCTACAGGCGGCCGACTCCATCCGCACGGACCCTGGCTGCCTCGGCCAGGACAGGCTGCCCGTGCTCGCCTGGATGTACGGCCAGGTGCGTCCTCCCCCTTCCTGCTTTCCTCCCTCCCTCCCTTCTTGCCCGTCCTCGCTGACTGCCCTCATTCTGTCCATGGTGCTGGTCAGCTGCTATAGATGTACAATCCAGCTCTGTGACCTCTCTGATTTATCATTTTTATTTCACTCATACACCCCTCGCCACTTCACAACTCCCCCCCCTCCAACCCCAACCTCCGGTGTATAATTGCCACGTGGCTGCCAGGTGGCAGTGGTGGATCTGGTATCGGGCATGGCGCTGCTGGTCAGCAACCTCATGCCCTTCACATCGGGCAAGCAGGGCTCGCCTGTGGGCCGCGACGTCACTCTCACCTACTTCCAAACGTGAGTATCCCCATCGTCTGGTCCCTTCCCTTTGGCCTTTTCACCAATATGTTGCCCGTTTTCACCAATATGTTGCCCGTTTTACTTGAAGTAATGAGGTCACTGGTACTTCCAGCTGGAAAAAAAATCCCCATCGTCCCTTTCCCCCCTCCCTACCCCAGCGTGCTGCTGCGCGGCTCCGAGTGAAACGCGAGAGAGGTGCTGCTGAACGCGGCGCTCGTTTCTGAGGCGCCTCAGTAACATCTTTCCCCCCCACCTCCATCCCTTCCCCTCTACCATTTCCCCCCTTTTCCCCACTCTCCCCCCCCCAGCGTGCTGCTGCGCGGCAACGAGCGCAAGGCGAGGGCGGTGCTGCTGAACGGGGCGTTCCGCAAGGGCGAGCGGCTGGTGCCCTACTCCACGCTCGACCAGTTCCTGCGCCTCGCCTTCCCCCCCGCCTCTGCCCGCACCAAGGCCACCGACCGCTTCACTGCACTCTACCCGCTTCTTAAGGATATCACGCTCGCAGGCTCGGGCCGAACCAAGTCCACCAAGGCTGTTGCCACGATGCTGCTTCCGCTGATGTTCCGAGCCGCAGGGGAAGGTACGGGTGGAGGTATGGATGCATGCAGGTGGGGCTATGGGTGCATGTGAAGGCAAGGGTGCGTGTGAAGGCAAGGGTGCGTGTGAAGGCAAGGGTGCGTGTGAAGGCAAGGGTGCGTGTGAAGGCAAGGGTGCGTGTGAAGGCAAGGGTGCGTGTGAAGGCAAGGGTGCATGTGAAGGCAAGGGTGCGTGTGAAGGCAAGGGTGCATGTGAAGGCAAGGGTGCATGTGAAGGCAAGGGTGCATGCGAAGGCAAGGGTGCATGGGTCTGTGTTTTCAGCTGCTTTGGAACCAGGGTTCAATTTGTGAGAACGCTGGACAGGGCGTGCCATCTGTGCATGTCTTTCATCTGTGCTTACTCTCATTGACACCCCGTGCTGCCTCTTGCCCACCTGCCCTGCCCGCTGCCCTCTCTTCCCTCTCAGAGCCTGAAGCGCTCGCCCAGGAGGCGAGCAGCCTCTTCGTATGGTGCTTGGCAGAGAACCCTGACTGCTACCTGCAATGGGTGAGCGCCCCCGTCTACTTTTGACACGACTCATAGCTTCTAATGCTGCTACAACGTTTCATTCTATCAGTCTCGTTCTATCCAGGTGGCTCTCAGCTTCACCTGGACAACTGTACCCTCAGCCTCCTCTCCTATCTGTCCTTTAATCCACACTTGTCGAGAGGCGTGCAGTCTCCACACAACTGCAACTCGATTGCACAAGGATTGTTCCATGGCTTGGGACAAGCCATGTCGGTCACACAGATGGCTTGTGCCTAACTGCATGTGTTGTGCGTGGCTGTTGCAGGAGCGGCATCATTCGGAGGACCATGCCACGAGCACACTCCTGCTGATCCACCCTTATAACTCAACTTGATGAACAAACCATGTCTGCCTGTGCGTTGTCCTGGCAGGAGCGGCATCATGCGGAGGACCATGCCACGAGCACACTCCTGCTGACCTATGTGCTGCGCTCATGGCCCACTGTCAAGACGCAGCTCGCGCCCTTTGACCCTCTGCGCAAGTTCCTTGCCTCCATTCGCAAGAAGGTGTGTTCTGCCTGCTGTGCAGTGTGCGTGATGCTTGCTGTGGGTCAGTGTGCCGGCCATTCTCCCCTGCTCCTGTGCCCCGTGCCCCTGTGCTCCCATGCTCACATGTTCATGCTCCCATGCTCCCATGTTCCTATGCTCACCCATGCTCCTATGCTCACCCATGCTCCTATGCTCACTCATTCTCCTATGCCCACCCATTCTCCTATGCTTAATTCCTAGCTTCTCATTTCCCCCACACTCTCTTGCTCCACACTTCGTTCCAAACCTCTTCTACTCCAACCCCTCCTCGTCCCATCCGCCTCCCCTGCTCCCTCTCAGCAGCACATTGCGGCATTGGAGGAGCTGGACGAGGGCCAGATAACACAGAAAAAGGATATCCAAAGCGCCTACGCAGTTTGAGATTGCCTTGAAAGTTGCATCCTCTCACTCCACACCTCATCCCATCCTCTTCTTCCCTCTCCCCATCTGTGCAGCACATTGCGGCATTGGAGGAGTTGGATGAGGGCCAAATAGCGCGGAAAAAGGACATCCAAAGCGCCGACGCAACAGCGAGGAAGCTGCAAGGGAAGGTGGCTGCAGGGGGGAGCTGCGTGGTGGTGTCGGCTGCTCTGGTGGCCGTTGCAGCAGCAGCAGCGTATGCAGCCTTCAACTTGCCACCTCAAGGCGAGTTTAACCTGGATATTGATGCCGTGCTGGCATTGCTCAAGGGTAATTAACTCTGGAGGGCGAGGCTAAATCCCCTTACCGGAGAGGAGGAAGCGGTGTTTTGTGTCTCTACAGCTTTGTGACAGAGCAATTGGCCTGTGTTCTTGGAAAGTGGTACTATGCTATGACAGAGCCATATTGGAATACTCGTGGTGGTTGAAGATACAGAAGAAAGACGTTTATGCATTGTACTCAGTATGCTTCTACCAGACTCCTATAGAAGAGTTCCGAAGGCGTCGGTGTAAAAGTGCACAATTGTGTGATAAGCAGCAGCACACAACCTGAACTGACTTGCTGATAAGCTCTACGATAAGCCCAAGCCTACACCAACCTAATTTTAGACATGTCTGAACATTTTTTCTCAAAAGAAGTGAGGCATGGATCTGTAACGGTGCTGCAGCTCCACACAGAAGGGCAGCGGCAGTTACCAATCAGCGATATAACACTATTTAGAGTGATTTTAGCCAGCGGGTTTCCTCTCAAACTGCTGAAACTTACAATCAGCATCTAGAATACCAGATGTCTTGTAGTCCTGTTCTTTGCCATCAATTACGGCCCTCTCTTTCGATGGGCCGTTCTTTCCCTGAGATGCACTGAATCTGGACAGGCGGGAAGCGGAGTCCTGGTATGTCTGCCCTATGATGCCATGCACCTTGTGGGATGCATGTAGGCTGACAATGCGAATGTTCAGCTGCAGGACAGGAGGGGGAAGGGGAACGGGGGTTTTGACATCAGGGAAACATGTTCTAGAACTTGCAGACTCTGATTCCTGACAACTCATGGCAACCATTTCAGTGCACGACTTACATAGTTGGGATGGGACTTGCGTGAGAGGTCTGGAAGAATGTCAACCGTCAGATCCACCACCCCTCGCACGCGCACTCGCACGCTTGTCTTGCGCCGCTCGATCCTGACCGTATGCCGAAGCAGATCGATGGTCAGGATGTCATCTGGCATAGACGCACTGTTCACCTCCAGTTGACCCTGCACCCCCTCAGGTGACACATCAGCTGCTGACTGTGCAGAAACGACGATGTGGATGCCTGAGCTGGTTACCACCCCGATTTCATCAATGTACTGCAGGAGAAGAGAACAATGAGAAGGGAAGGAAGCAGAGGGAAACAATAAAAATCGTCAGAAACACCTCCAAACTCATGTTTGTAATGTTGACCCTGCACGCCCTGAATCATTAACTTTTGCCAACTACCTTAAAGCCTTTTCACTCACCGTGCTTCCATTCTTGGCGCCAGCGAACAGATGCATGTTGATCTGAACCTTCCGATCGCTCACAAGGCAGTAGCTCGCGCCATCCTGACCGTGGAATTCAAACTTCTCGCCATGCCGACCAATCAGGTGTGGGTCTCCCTTTGCTGACGTTTCAGCAACATGGGGCACACCACCACTGCACCCGTTGCTGCTGCTGTTGCCGCTGCTGTTGCCACTGCTATTGCTGCTGCTAGGGTTTTCACTGGTGCTGCTGCAGTTGGAATTTGGAGAAGTTGGAGTTATGCTGCTGCCTGAGAGTGTGCCATTATTGAGTGGCGCCTTGTTGTTGCGTTTCACTTTGCGTCTGTGGGAGGCGTGCGGGCGCGGAGGTGTGCTAGTAACCGTGCTGACCGTATCAGGAAAGCACGGGGAGGATTTGGGAGGAGGAGGTGCGGTAACAGGAGGGCAAGTGCAGTTGTGAGTGGTTGGGTTCGGTTGAGAGGTAGAGTACAAGGGACTGGGAGCAAGCGCGGAAGCAGGTTCCGTGGGGTTGGAAGCGGGTTCCGCACTGGACTGAACGACAGAGAGGAGCGTGGCCATGACAGCTGCAGCGAGCATGAGGTGTCGCATGAATCGCATGCTGCCGACTCGCGGACCCATCCCACGCCCGCTCATGGCTATGTAGCGCCCCATCCTGCGACTCCTGCGATGCATGCGACGTAACTGACGCCTGTGATGCCTTGACTGACTGGAATGTCAGCGATGCTACTGAGAGTGTTTCAGAACCTGTGCATTTCTTAAAGAGACGCGACGAGCTTTAACCCTTTTGACCAGAAAAGCCTCCTAAAACCGACGTGAATTGCTTCGATCCGACACTGCTCTCCACGCAAATCCCCTTCCACGCCCGCCGTCGCCGCCGCCGCCATGCTCACGGCGCCTCCAGCGAGGTCAAACGCGTTCGCCGCCACGCTCGATCCAGGAGAGGGCGGAGCGCGACGGCTCGTGTCCCTCCGACGCGGAGGCGGACGGCGGAGTCACGACTTCTCGCTCATCGCGAGGTGGCTTTTGAGTTACTTAAGCGGCACCAACGGAGGGCGGAGGCCGCTCGTTCATAGCGCGCGTCCGCGCCGCCGTACCGACCTAGCCATGGACGCGAGCCGCGTCATATCCGGTTTCGAGGCGAGCCGAGGCAATACGAAACTATACATGGCTAACGAGCGAGACGAAACGACTACTTTCCTAAATGCGCAGGAAAGGGACTAAATTGCGCAAAGTACGCGTCAGCGCAGCGTGCTTGCGAGGAGGAAGCGCGGAAAGCTCGATTACAAGAATTGCGCCCCGCGTGTGCTCTAGTCAGGCTGCCCAGCAAAAGAAATGTTGCAAATCCTCGTTTCAAGCTACTTCGATCTCATAACGCCACTTCCGGAAATCCTCCACCATATTGATCAACGATATTCACCTCTTCATACATGTAATTGCTGAAAATGGAAGCTTTGAAGAAGAGTCAGCCTGGGCCAGTATGGGTCTGTCTGCGTGCACAGCAAGAACAGTAGGGACGCGGACTAATTGATGGCTCTGGTGTGGCATCTGTGCATGCAGGCATGGCATGTTTGTTGTTTGCTGCAGCTAGGAGGCAAGAATCAAGGATTAGCTGCTTGGCTGGTTGCTGCTTGTGTTCAGTAGTGGCGGTGTTCGCCAGCACCTTTGAGATTGGAAGAAAATGGAAGGCATTGGACTGGCAACGGCATCAGGAAGCGGGGTCGGAACCCTCCGAAAAGGTTTGGGCGAAATGCCACCCGCGAACTTTCCAGCCCCGACATGAGAAACTTCACAACCGCATATGGAACCCCACACCCCACCTTCCTCCGACAGCCAATTACATCGCCAAACCACGGCGGTCCACGTGAAATGGTGGATTGCCACGGGATGGCATGAGACGGGACGTTTGCCTGGGGAGGAAGTCGCGTCCCCATTTCCGAATGCCATGTTTCCTTCCGAAAATTGAGAAAAATGAGAGCGTTCGCCAGGCACCGCAGATTGCTTTAGGCTCGGACGACATCCTAGCTTCGGCACGAATTTTACGGGCTGACCAGGCTGACGGAGCTTAACGAACCCTAACTGACGGGATCAGGAAGGCGTGACTGACCTTCCAGATCCCGTCGTTTTCGTTTTCAATATGCTGGCGAACACCGCCAGTATCAACAAGCATAGGATGGGGTAGCTTCCATGCTCTTGCTGCATGTGGTAGCATGGATACCTGAGCTTGCTGCTCTTGTCGCAGGTGCAGCATTCTGATTTGGGGTGTTTGTTGCGTACCCTGGCCATACATGTTCAGCACAAAATGTGCGCAATCGCTGTTTCTTGTCAGTCCCCGCCATCCCCGCTTGTATTTGCCTGACTCACATCCTGTTTGTGGTGGCTGGCTATGTGCATGCATGCTGCATTCGAAGCATGAGTGGGTGCCCTGCAGTTCCACTTGCTCGCCATCACCATGCTAGCTCCATCTCACTCTCTCTCAGCGCTGTGACTGAGGACTTGGCCTGTAGCAGCCGAGTCATCAGGGCGCAGCACAGCACCTGCAGAGGGCACTCTGCCTTGCGTGGGCGTTTGCGTCCCCTCTGCCCTGCGTGGGTATTTGTGCTCAGGCGCCTTCTAGGATCCCCACCCACCTAATCTACAACATGCAGATCCATCCCAGCACAGCAAAGCGCAATGCAGCACACCTAAGCAAAGATAAGCACACCTGCACACCTAAGCAAATATAAGAACACCTAAGGAAATATAAGCACACCGAAGCACAGCTGAGCACTGTAAGCACAGCGGCACATCTTGAGCTCTTAGTGGCCCACCTCCATGCAGCACCCCACAAGTCCACCACAGAAGAGTCCGACAACAGGACAACAACGGGACATGGAAGAGCGAGGAGGAAAGAGAGCAGTTAGACACTTCCAAGGTGCGAAGCGCACGACAGCACACAAGTGAAGCTGATCAAAGGGAAAATAATAGCGGTGCATTGTGTGCATTGTGTTCATGTCAGACGTCCTTTGCGAAGCAAGCGCCAAGAGAGAAATGTACGTTAGCAAGGCCAGCAACCCCCCCCCTCCAGAATTCTCCCATCACACATACCATGACGAAATACGCAGCACTGTTGTTGCTGGCACTGCTACCCCAGAAGTTGCTGGCAGGGACAGCAATGGGACATGGAGAGGGGAGGGAGACCAGGGGACACAGAAAGAGGGAAGGACGAGCAGCATGAGAAGGTTTACAGGAGACGAGTAGGGCATTGAGGCACTGGCCTAAGACGCAAGCACTACTAAATCAACCGCTGAAAACACTTGAGGGAACTGGGAAGCACTAGGGTAAGCTATAATCACCCTTACATTGCTGCAGCCGCAACCACTGTAGTGAACGTGGATTCTGCATGTATCCCTGCCACCACTGGTGCCCGTGCTGCTGGTGCTGGATAGGAGCTTCTGGTGACTGAAGGGAGGAGAGCAGAGAAGAGGAGAGGAGAGCAGTGAAGAGGAGAGGAGAACAGAGAAGAGAGCAGAGCAGAGAAGAAGAAAGGAGTGCAGAGAAAAGAGGAGAGAACAGACAAAGAGAGGACAGGAAAGGAGGAGTTTGAAAGGTGAGCAGAGCGGCATATACATTTGGCAAAGCATCTAAAACACACATGGCACTGTCGAGAAAAGGTAGACTAGACGGAAACGCACAAGAGAAAGAAGCATGAGCATGTTGAGTGGAGAAGTGGTGTACCAGCTGATCTAATCACAACACATTCCCTTGACAGCTTGCCATCAGCCAGCCGTTGTTTTCCCAGTGCTCCCTGAGGACTGGTGATCCCTCACTTGCTGCAGCCCCTGCCCCCTCGAGTGCTGGAGTGAGGGGAGGTAGTATGGCATGGAAGAGGACGAGAGGTGTGAGCACGGAGAGGAGAGGCGAGTGGATGAGAGGGTGAGGATGAGAAAAAGCAGAAGAGGTGGCAGATGGCAGCTGGAGGAGCGAGTGAGACAAGAACAACGCATGGTACACTCTCACTCCTGAGACAAGAAGCAACGCATGGTGCACTCTCATTGCTGAGACAAGAAGCAACACTCGGCGATACCCCACGACTCACTTCACTGCCCCCTTGCAAGCACCTCTGGCACGTGATCCGTTCACCGCTCCGCCGCTCCCCAGGCGTGCTGCTCTCCAGGTTTCTCCGTTGCTCCTGCTGCCCATGCTCGCAGGCCATGAGGCACACACACATACGCATGGGGTGAAAGACATGCACACAGAAGCCGCACCAACAACGGAGGGTTAGAAACAGCAGGAGGCGAGTGGCGGAGGTAAAAGCAAGAGACACGACTCTTGCCTCTGCGCGGCGACGCTCTATGAATCACTACACTCCCCCCTGCAAGCACCCCCTGGCGCGTACCACACTCTTTCTGCTTCTCTGCCACTCCTGCACCACGCCTTCCCTTCACGCCTGCTGCTCCAAGTTGCTCCAAGTTGCTCCAGGTTGCTCCGTTGCTCCGGGTGGCCATGCTCGCAGGCCGTGAGGCACGCACACACACGCATGGGGAGAGAGAGACACACACACAAGCGGCACCAACAAGAAGGAGGGTTATTAGCAGCAAGAGGGGAGTGGCGGACTCAAAAGCAAGAGACAAGACGGCTGTTGCCTCTGTGCCGCAACGCTCTACGACTCACTCCACTACCCCCTGCAAGCACCCCCTGGCAAGTACCACACTGTGTCCGCTGCTCTGCCACTCCTGCACCACGCCTTCCCTTCACGTCTGCTGCTCCAAGTTGCTCCAGCTTGCTCCGTTGCTCCGGCTGCCCATGCTCGCAGGCTGTGAGGCAAACACACACGCATGGGGAGAGAGACACGCACACACAAGCGGTACCAACAAGAGGGAGGGCTATTAACAGCAGGAGGGGAGTGGCAGACTCAAAAGCAAGAGACAAGACGACTGTTGCCTCTGCGCGGCGACACTCTACGACTCACTACAGTCCCCCCCACAGCTGTCTCGTTCTTACGTATCGTTGATCTTCCCCTGATTGTCTCGTTGATCTTCCCCTGATTGTCAACAATCTCCAAGCAAACGCTTGTGAGCTTTGGATGAACGCTTGCAGCCTGCAAACTCCAAACGACGCCTGGCAATTCTTGAAGTGCTTGGTGACTACAGCGACGGCGACGACCGAAAATCCGTTCCTCGGAGTTAGTCGCACACATGCAGAGAGGGAAAAGAGGAGGACAGGGAGAGCAGGAGGGGACAAGAGTAAGTGGGAAGGTAGTTTCACGCATGACACGAAGGAGGAGAGCGACGAGACTCTCTAAGCATGCCTACATGATCCCCCCCACCATCTTTCGCTGTTACGCAACGTTGATCTTTCAAGGGATCCAAGGGAACGCCGGGGAAGTTGATGCTAACGCATGCAATCCTCCTGGCATACTCCCGCGAGCTGCTTCTGACGGCCGCGTACGTGGTGTTCGACGCATCGACGTTTCGTGGTATTTCGTCGACGTCCTGTTGACCATTTCGACGCATCGAAAAGAGCGCTTGCGAGCTTCGAGCGACGTCGGGCGGTTCTGGGAATGTCTGAAGCAAGCTTCGTCCAACACTGCGGCGATGGCCACCGTCCAAAGCCCGTCCGTGCTTCGAACAAACACGCAGTGGGGAGAACGGCGGGGGGACAGAAAGAGAGAAAAGGCACACGCGTTAATGGGAAGCTTTATTCAAACATGACACGAAGAAGAAGAGCGACGAGACTCTCTAGGCGGTGCTGTTCTAGACGCCTACATGATTCCCCCCACCACCCTTCGCTGTTACGTACCATCGATCATTCATTGATCACGTGAGAAATTCAAGGGAACGCCGAGGAACTCGATGCGAACGCATGTGATTCTCATGCCGTTCGGCCCATAGCGATCTCCCGTGACATGCGTCACGCTCCTTCTGATGGCCGCGTCCTGTTGACAGTTTCGACGCATCGAAACGTCCACTTCTTGACGCTTGCGATGCCAGTCGGCGAACACTACTGCTGCCATTTGCGAACAGCTGCTTTCCGCCGCTGATTCGTACTCCGAAAAACGCTGCGTTGTTCCCGGCCGGCAATCTCGAGAAACGTTTGTTTCAGACTGCCAGTTTCGAGGGCTAATATTCCGTCACTCGGACTAAAGGATGCTGCTCTTGGTACTAACCCAAGACTCGTTGGAGCAACCACTTCCATCGCACGAGATTCTCATGATTTGAAAGACCATTTCCGGATGTATATGTCGGCTGGAGGGCAAGCAGAGACAGCCAGGAACCTGAATAGATGTAGAGCTGCGGTTTGCTGCTGTGGGACGACGCCGTCTCGAAGCTTTTCGCTAAGAAGCCTTACTGGGTGTCGCAACCGTCGTACAGCAGCGTGCGATGGTGCATCAGGGAGAAAAATATTATCATATCAGGCTGAGCCTATCCGAACCTACGTTACCACGAGCAGCAGTTCGGCCGTTTCTTCTGGAAGTCACCCCTTTCTAAAAGAAAATGAAGCGACAATAGGACCTTCGTTCTAGGGAACTTAATGTCTAGCATTGACGCAACGCAACACCAGCCGGCAGCTGATAAAGACAAATCCTCGATATGTCAAGTTGGGTGGAGGTTTGGCGGTGAGGTTCGGGCCGAGCCGGGAGATGTACAACATGGTAATTGCTGCTGCTGTTAGAGCTGGTGATGTGAACACCGCTCGATCCGTCTACACCGATTTGAGGGGCAGCGTTCCTCTTGCTGCCCGTGCTCCTGCTACTTTTGCTGCTTCTTTCTAGGTAGGGGACACAGAGGAAGAGGGAGGAAGAGGGAGAAAGAGGGGGGGCAATGGTGCAAAGCGCGCCTGCAAAGCTTAAAGCTCGGATATTCGGTCCGGCGAGGCATATCGCCCTGCGAGCAGTTGGCAGGCGGCGTCTGCTAGCGGATGAGTCCGCTAGGAGCAGCACCGGATAATATCCGTGCTGATCCTAACTGGCGCTGATGGGGCGAGCGATGACGGGGCCGCGACTGAGGCAGTGCGATTTGCGGTGGCAGTGGGGGAGAAGAGGAGGGAGCGGGTAAGCACCTTTAGGAGTGGGCTGCTGGGCCGATTGTGGAAGAGGAGGTGAGTGTGGATGGGAAGGTGAGTGGGGTGGGGAGGCGGTTGGAAGGATGGTGAGGGTTGAGGAAAAGGAGGAAGGGGGTGAAAGGGAGGAGGGAGGGAACGGGGAGGGGGGGGGAGGAGGGTAACTGGAAGGAGCAGGTAGTGGATAATGCCAGAGAGACGGGCAGCATGGGCAGCACGGGTCGTTCAGCGTGCAGGACGCAGCGGGTGCTGGCGTTCAGCACGGTGCCGCACCCTTCACTAGTGTTCTACATGTTAGAAACTATCAGGCAGGAATGAGTTCACTAGCAGGGAATGAAAGTACAGGTATCAAACCTTAAAAGAGTTGTACTCTATGTTGGCTACCCCACTACAACACACAAATATATAAATCAGTTTTGACACACCCCCATAGGCAAATTGGGGAAGAGCCAGCGGTTACAAGACCAGTCAAGAACAACAAAGGGAGCTCAGGGTGGATCACAAAGTCACCACACACTCTTAGCACAAGCAAATGGTGACAAGGACGGTCCACATGAAGAGTTATATAAAAGATAGCAAACAGTACAGTGATCACAACCTAGCGAGAATAAGCATGCAGGTATACATAGGTCACAGTACAAGCAAATTCAAGCAGTAAGCAAGTGAGGCAAAGCAGGCACAAGGCCCAACACAATACATAAGCGCTCATGATCACCACGCGGAAGTGCCCTGGTGAATATATCAGCAGTGTTGGCTCGAATGAGCCACGCAAGCAAGACGAAGCTGACCACGTTGCTGCAACTCTCGAACCAGGAAGCAACGCAGAGCGATGTGTTTTGTTCTGTGCTCCAGTCAGTGTCAGAATGTTATGCTCTAGCCTGTAGTGGGGTGCTCTATAGCGAGTACAACCCTTCTAGGGTTTGCTATTTGTATCCTCATTCCTACTAGTGAACCCCCTCTTTGCCTAAACTGTTTCTTGCCTAGCTAGGGCTTTCCTAGCTATGGCACCTTCTTCTACCATTCATTCTACTGCTTATTCTCACATGGTATTAGAGCGATATGCTCTTGGCCTGTGGGCCCCACCTCACTACTTCCGCTGCTACTGCTACTCTCTGTGTTGCACGCCCCGTGGCGTGCAACAGATTTTTCATCCCGCCACGCGCTCGGAGCGTGCGGCGGTTTTCTGCCCGCCGTGCGCCCCGAGGCGCGCGGCGGTTTTCTTGCCGTGCGCCCCGAGGTGCGCGGCGGTTCTCTGCCCGCCGTGCGCCCCGAGGCGCGCGGCGGGTTTCTGCCCCGTCACGCAGCGCGTCGCTCCCGGGAGGCGCTGCGACGGGCGAAGGGGACCCGCGGGTCGCCCCCCGTCGCCCGTCGTGGCCTGTGCGCGGCCCGTACAGCCTGCGCGCGGCCCGTACGGGCTGCGCCAGGCCCGCGCGCGGCCCGTACGGGCTGCACCAGGCCCACGCGCGGCTCGGGCCGCCTGCGCGCGGTTCGGGCGGCTGTGCCAGGCCCGTGGGCGGCCCATTCTTCGCTGCCCCTGCGCTGCCCGCTGTCCCCCGTGCTTCTGATGGCGCCCCACCTCTGCTGCTGCCCGTTCTCCTGGATTAGGGTTTGGGGGTGGGGGGTATGGGGGTGCAGCTTCTGTATGCCGTCCCTTGCTCCTCCTCCTCCTCCGTCTCCCAGTGCTGCAGCTGCCGCTGAGGGGGGTGGACCTGTTGGAGCCGTCGGAGTGGTACTAAGGGGGGTGAAGGGGGAGTGGAGCTAGGGGTGAAGCAGGGGGTGTGTGTCAGGGGGGGTGGGACTGTTTGGGGAGGTTGAACGAAGGTTGCCGTCGAGTCGCCAGCAGCACCTGTAGTCCGGGGAGTTGCTCCGGTAGCCCAGTCGCAGCCACCTGTGCCAGTCGCCCGTGGGTCCGTTGCTCGTCTGCCGCTACTTTTAGCCGCGGGGCCAGTTACTCCAGTAGTCCGGAGCGCTGTTCCGGTAGCCGCTGTGCCAGTGTGCCTCCTGTTGCCCGTGTGTCTGCAGCTTCAGTCGTCGCCTCCTATCTCCTCTCCTCTTACAGTCTTGCCTCCTCCTCCTCACTTGCCCTCTGCGATAGCCTCTAGCTTTGCTCATAATTGTGAACTTTAAACTATTGCATCTTGTACTTGTGCTCAAAATGTGTGGTGACATTGTGATCCACCATGAGCTTGTTCTGCTTTGCTTGCTCTGCTGATTACACCCCACTTTGGCTATGGGGGTGTGTCAGAATGTTATGCTCTAGCCTGTAGTGGGGTGCTCTATAGCGAGTACAACCCTTCTAGGGTTTGCTATTTGTATCCTCATTCCTGCTAGTGAACCCCCTCTTTGCCTAAACTGTTTCTTGCCTAGCTAGAGCTTTCCTAGCTATGGTGCCTTATTCTACCATTCATTCTACTGCTTATTCTCACAGTCAGTGCTCCTGACACAAAGCAATTGCAGCCTTTTTGTCTACGTACAGAACTGGAGGAGAACAAGGCCGCTCTCCCAAGTCGTTCAGCAGGTAGGTGAGCCAGCATAACTCCTGTGCATCCATGGCTCCTGCGTAGATCTTAGCCTCATAACTTGAGCTGAGAACAGTGAGGGCGGTAGGGTCAAGAGCGAGAAAGTGGTCCTTGACCGTACGAAGAGAGTCAGGGAGGCGGGTGACTAGGAAGTAGAGCGTGATGTACATCAGGGGCGGGTTGGCGGCTAAGAACTCGGCTGAGAGAGCGGCACGGTAGCGAACGTCACTAGCGCGAAGGTGGGATATGAGGTCCTCAACTGTGGCAAAGGAGGACAGCTCTGGGAACAGGTAGGGCAAGATAAGGCGGCTGAGAGCAGCAGTGGCAAGGGAAGAGTAGCGAGCGACTACAGTGCGGAGATAACTACTACAACGGGAGCTAGACTACACGCTAGGCACAGATGCTCGTGTGATCTCTGCGTTCTATGTTCCTTCGTCGTTTTCCTAGTGCACACACTGCTTGCTAGTCCACGGGGCGATTTGGCGAGAGTTTCATTAAGAAAGGTTGACAATAATGGTACAATCAGGTTGGCAAGACAACACTACATCATAGCTAACATTTCGGTCGGTCGACTGCCAGCACAGCATGGTCGACCGCGTTCCAGCACGACTTGGTCGACCGCGCTCCAGTAGTGCAAAGTCGACGGCATGCCAACGCTGCATGTCAACGGCGTGCCAACGCTGCATGTCGACGGCGTGCCAGCGTTGCTCCCGCAGTACAGCATCGCACCAGCTTCGTAGGTGCTCGCAGATGATTGGCATGCTGTGCCTCGACACCTGCACAGCGCATACATCAAGTTGTCCTCGTGCTGACGACTGCACCTGATCCGCCACGTCGACCTCGGGATACCACCACCGAGATCGGTCTCGCCAACATCGCCTGGGCGACCGTCGCACTCCTCTGCAGAACCTCGTCACCCAGGTAACCTCGCCGACCGGGCAACCACGTCGACCGGCTACTCCTGTATGTGCCCGTCGACATCCCAAGTCGACGACCAACTCGAGTCGACCTCACCAGGTCGACCACACCCTTGGTCGACCAGCTCCAGGTCGACGTCACTCCTGGCTGGCCAGCTCTACGTCGACCAGCACAATTGTCAGCCGACCACCCAAGTTGGATACCCGAAGTCGGCGTCACCAAGTTGACGCCCTACTATTCGACGCCCAGCTGCTCGGCGTCTTGAGTCGTGGTCGACGTCGGCCCCTCCTCCGTTGACCACCAAGT